TATTAATGTATTGTATTTTTGGTGTAGGTGATTCTTCTATAACGTATGTTCAGTCATATGTATCCCTAGTGTGTCTGTTAGATTTTGTGTCACATGTAATGGGTTATATTATTATTATTACAATCAAGGGGGAAGCGCTAAACCCGGAGGATTATACAGCGCCTGGGGGGGGGTATGTGGAAGGCATTCAGGCTTAATTTGGGGAACTGGAGCACAGATCCAATTCCCTAAATCAAGAGCCCCTCACCAACATCAAGGAACCTTCCTTGAGGGGTAATGGGTTATAGGTAAACTGTGTATGCCGGTATGGTGCAACATTGTATGTTTTATGATTTAATTGTTTTTCACCCTTGGTTACAGGGTTCATTGTTGTAATGAAGTGTATTTTCAATAAAATATAAAAAAAATAATTTGGTGACCAAACTGGGGAGGGGACCAGGAGCTGCAGCTCAACTCTGCTGTTGTACTGACAAATACGCCACCAGACAATACTTACGTTATTTAGGTGTATTAAAAGAATGAGGAAGCGGTAAAGCCGGGGGGAATGGCAGGACGAGGGGCAACTCAACCTTTCCGAACGACTACTGAAGTTCAACTGACCTTTAGTGACCTTGAGGTTGGTCACTGTCCTGACCTTCACTATAACACCATCACTGATAACTGACTAACTCTCACTACCACCACTAGATGGCACTACTACACCACCACTAGACGGGGGTCATGAACCATCTGGGAGCATAAGTTCACTCCCGGGTGGCATAGATCACATTCCTTGGGAGTGATCTATGCCACCCCGGTCTATATATCAGTAGCCTTGAGTTTTTGGAAGAAAAATGCGCTTACATTCCATAGACATTTAGGTTAATTTTGTCAGGAAACTGAACAAGTGTTTCCTGACGTGGGTCATATGATGACCCGCAGCTGGAGCTTTAGGTCATCTGACTGTGACCTTCCGCCAGCTTACCGGTTCACCCCTTTAAAAATTATTGTCATAAGTAAGAGTAAATCACCACCACTGCACAGGCACCTAAAGTCAGTACCTGACCAACCGGGCTGTGGTTCGTACGTCAGCTTGCGTGCGGGCAGCAGTAACAGCCTTTTTGATCAGACCCTGATCCACCACTAGGCCTGGTCTCAGACCGGGCCGCGGGGGCGTTGACCCCCCGAAACCCTCTCCAGGTAAACTGCTTCAATTGGTGACTTCACTAAGAAGTCTCCATTTAATTTTCCTTATAAGGAAATAGTAAGTTTATTTAGTACAGATACACATAAGTACAGTTGTTATACATACATGTGCAAATTATCTAGAATAATCTCCAAAAAAGTCAAAAGTTATTAATTTCCATTGAGGTCCTTAACTTATTTCCACTGAGAGAATACACCATCCATTGTGGGAAGTGTGACAAAGTTTACCTGGGAAAGACGTCTATGATAATTTATAAACACCAAATAGCCTATACCACGGATGGCACTAGAAATACATGTGTCATACACAGAAACACTGAGGGAGTCAGGGAGATCTCATACTCTGGCCAGATGCTGAAATGATCTACTGGGAAGCAGATTTAATGCCACTGTGGCATGCAAAGAGTACGTAACCTTTATTCGGCGCATGGACACACCCTCATTTACAGGCTATCTCCCCCAACCAGCGAACCAGGTTGCTAAGAGTTGATGATGGGGCCCCATCGTTCAACTAGTGACCAGGTTCTAGCCAATAAGAAGGTGGGATTGACAATCGCAGAGGTTATGTGGATACCGCTCTCCTGTCTGCCCTTGTCATTCCCATTCTAGAGCTGGTTGAAGCACGGTCTGCTATCTTGTGGCTTCTATTTCTGCCTTGCTTACCGTGGAGTGCACTATATTTATCACTGTACATAGTGTACATATTGCTGTTATAATTGGTGAAGGATAATACAAGTCTAAACTTTTTCTACTGTGTTTATTTGCTCCCATTACACCTGGGATAACAGGCCATTTGAAATCCTAGGTTGTAATAGCCACCAACACTATCATTCGAAAAGTTAGCAATTATAATATTTCCCAAACATTATTCCATGTGATATTATTATCATACTTCCACGAGGCTGCCAGAAAGATAAACCTTTCTCCACTTCTGGCGTCCTTCACCTAGTACTACTATTACTACACTCTCCTGTACCTATATATAGCCAGCTTCCTCTCATATTCCTCAGGTATTTGAATTGATCAATGACCGAAACGTCTTCATTATAGACAGGTGTCCTAAGTGAATGCATTCATGTCCAGTTGCGTCACCTATCAAGGGGTTAGATAGATTAGAGGTAAGGGACTGAACACCGTAAAATTAATTCACTACTTCTTCCACTGTCTTCAGTATATCTCCTGTATATTAAATTAAAAAAAGCCTGTAGCATAGGCGAAACCTGTTGGCAATAAAGATACCCAGGCTTGGTTGGCAACGCACTCGCCTCACATACTGCAAGTCCGTGGTTCATTCCCCAGTATGGGTGGAAACGTTGAATATGTTTTGTTACATCTGATGTCCCTGTTCACCTAGCAGTAAGCAGGTGCCTGGGTATTAGCTGACTGTTGTGGGTAGCAGCCTGGGGTAAAAGACCAACCTAAATTGCCAGAAATGTTCTACATAACCAGGAGCTTTCTGTGGAAAATTGCATTTATCTGAATGTAACTAATTATGTACATAACAGTAAATGATAACAAAGATAATTATTATTTATCAATGTTACATAGACAAGTAGGAATTTGGGACACCTAGGTCGCAAAAAATGTCCCCCTTCGATACCTACCACTGTCATAACCACAAGTTGCTCTGGACCTATTAATTAAATGAAATATACATACACCAGGAATACTGGTAAATATATAAATTTGTAGACTGTATATTAAAAATAATAAATGGTTATATATATACACAATTACATAACAGAAGGAAAATATATCTTAATATCACTCACCAATTTGACTGGAGATTAATGTGTATCATACTCAGAAAACCTCACTCTAACTAAATCTATGAAAATAATGCTGGCCAGAATTACACACAAATCTAGAGAGCTTATCTGAGGTTCCTGGAGCTGTCTTGTCCAGTCGTCTGATATCTCAAGTTATGCAGGAATGCACATCCACCAATTTCGCCTCCTATTTGAGAGGTGTCAACACAATTTTATCCTCTAGAGCACGAAAAATTCTTCCCATTACACCAACGTTTGTACAAAATTCAAAACCAAGATGGCGAGTCACCCCCCCCCCCCCAGCCGCAGGTTTCCCATTTTCGATAACATACTTCTTTTAAAAATACAATATAGGGCATCTATTTACCTATAAATTACCGTATTTCCGGAAAATATATACAGTATTTTCCACACTTTCTATATAATATGTCAGTGATGTCAGCTATGGTCTGTATAACTTATATCGTACTTAAAGAAATAAAGATTATTATTATTATTATTATTATTATTATTATTATTATTATTATTATTATCTCGGGAACTAGTTATAGAGCTCCTAAAACCTACAAAATTTTTAACCTACCCTCGCCAAGTTCCCTCATGTCCCACCTAAGAGTCATTATTCTCTGGGAATTCCTTGTTCATGGTTGAAAGCTCGGACCCAAGGTTGGTGTGGCTTCTACACACTGGTAAGTAAGTTTATTTAGGTACAGGTACACAAATACAGTTACACACATTATCATACATGGAGTTTACCTGGCAGCACATGTGTAAATTACCTAGATTATTATTATAATCAAGGGGGAAGCGCTAAACCCGGAGGATTATACAGCGCCTGGGGGGGGATGTGGAAGGCATTCAGGCTTAATTCAGGGAACTGGAGCACAGATCCAATTCCCTAAATCAAGAGCCCCTCACCAACATCAAGGAACCTTCCTTGAGGGGTAAATTACTTAGAATAACCCCAAATAAAGTCAAAGTGATTTATTTCTATTGGGGTCCTTGAACTGCTACCTGGGAGTTACTTGACTAGTGTGGGATAAATCCTGACTATAGAAGGATACTTCAGACAGGGATTAACGTTAAAATAAACTCAAGTAGGATAACAGTGACCAACCACCCACATGGTAGCTGTAACTTCTTATTTGCTGGTTTTTTTTTATATAAAAAGTTGTTCTTTCAGGTGATTGAAGCTGAATTACAGAAATTATCTAACTTATAAAATACACTGATAGTTCTATTACTAAATCAGGGGAAGGCGCTAAACCCGTAGGGAATCAGGCAGCACGTAGGAAATGGAAGGCAATAAAGTGTTATCAAATTTAAGGGTGGATAGGTGTAATTTCTTGGATCAAGAACTCTTCACTGGCATCAAGGCACCTCCCTCGATGGGAGATTTACTGATAGATATATATTCTGGATTCTATTGAAGTCTATTTTCCTTGTGCAATAACAGTAGAATCCCATTCAAACCATATATAGCCATAAACTGTTTTTTGTATCAAGTAAATGGGGAAAATATAATCAATCCTGTTTTAAAATGGTTTAGTTTCACTTCTGGTGGCAGAAGCAAGTACACATATAAGAGTTTTATATACATATGAGAGTTATAGAACTCAGATTTTGCAATTGCATGCAAGGTGCTTGTGGTAGCCTTCTTGGTGTGTTCCCATTCTTCATCATGGCTGCTGCCTGGGTACAAAGGTATTGATTTTCATTATATTTCTATATATTCTGACTACCCTTGGCGTTTCCCTAGATTAACCACCGCTACACTTGTAAGTGCTGCTGACGAAACTCTTACTCCTACTTCACATTTCCATCTCTAAATATCAGTACGACAGATGAAAAAAAATGCATATTGGTGTTTGAATAAGGCGGTGAAATACGTCAGAAGAACTAGGCGTTTTAACTGGTTGCTGGAGCTGCCATCTCTGGCTCCTGGTGTGAACTAGTGGACGGTCGCAGGGCAGCGAATATGGTAGGCGTCACTGTAATATTTTCTCTATTTTAACATTTACTCAGTAGATGATGAACAGAAACCTACAGAAGTAACTCAGCCAAGTGAGTATAGATTCGGGACGTAATTTCGTTTTAAATTCAAGGTCTTCGGAGCAGCGGAAGTCTTGTAAATGAGTTCAAATGTGATGATGTGCGACATCCCTTTTCGTAAGGGGCGAAGCCACAAAGCCAAGGGGCCACCTTTTTGATCTTCCTCTTGGAATTTCTCGCGGGATAATCTTCCAGCATCCTTGCGAACCGTGTCGAAATTTACATGTGACCCACTAGTAGCGTTCTACATAAGTATTACATAATTAGATGTTGGTTTATATGCATAAATCCGGTGTGTAAGATGAGGGTGATGGCAAGGCGTCAACTCGTCCCTCTGGCTGGCCCACTCTCTCCCACGGCCATCGTGTGTAGGAATCTTGCCCCATGCTCACACATCTCCATCTTTATGTATTTGAAACATTTCTTGTGTTCGTGTAATGTTCTTTGATTTAGATAGTTTTTTAATAAAAATGTTAAATTTAAAACGAGAGAGAAAATATGATCAAGGGGTAACTAAAGAATTTGAGGTGTACCCCCCTTTCGTGCAGTTTTACTTTCAAATTTTACTTTATGTAGTTGAATTCAGATTCCGTTAAGTGCTTCTAGATTTCCTAGTAAACTTTAAAAAGTGTCAGAATTATTATTAACGAACAAGAGGAAAAAGATTGTAATTTTATGGTTGAAATATGCCTGTTGTTCGACAGGACCCTGAATAGATGGAAATTAATATTCAATAGCTTTGTTTTACCTTCAGAGAGGGGGAAGCTGCCTTGATGTCGATGATGGGCTCGTGATCCAAGAAGTGGAACTACCTTCTTTTCATGGATCAAACCTCTTTATTTCCCATTCCTCAGGTGCTGCCTGATCTCCATTTGAAACAAGTCAGTGTTTGACTTTATTGGGTTATCCTAAGTTAATTTACACATAAGTTTCTCTGTAACACAAATGTAAAAATCTAAACTTGTATATTGATTCTGAATAAAAACATACTTATGGGTTTGTTTTTTCATGTATTTAATGTTAAAAAGTTTCATAGACATTACTATTGGCTCCTTGACTGGCTGCATGAAGTTGGCATCACAGAATAATTTTTCCCATGTTGATTTTGATTCTTAACCCTTTCCAGACTTGAGGCAAGGTAGTTTAGGCACAGGATGAGAGCAATTTTTTAAAACTTAATTATGATATTTGAATTTTTTGTAGTGTTTCCTATACATCAGTTCTCTTGTACCCATGTTCAGGATAAAACCATATCATCTTGTTTTGAATAGCTAGTAATCTCGTATTTGAGATTTTTATTGAGATTTTTACAAGAGTAGAGCTCAGTGTTGAGCAAGAGTAGGAGTCTACTCATTGTATAGGAGCCTAACATGGGCCTTGTTCATTATGATTGCTTATAAAGGACAGTGTTTATTAACCATTTTGTAAATGACTCCAGTTCAAATACTGTATTGACTGGCACTTAACAGGGCAGTGTCGTAAACATACAGTATGAGTTTGCATTTAAAACAGAATAGGCCTGGATTCAAACTTGGGTCCTTATGTTAACACTAGCCACAAGTAATTTTTTTATATAAAAAACAACAGTTCCATATAATATTTGATTGCCATTAAACAAAACAGCTTTCAGGATATAGAAAGATCACTACTGCATTGTGCTGTATGTTGCTTTGTTGGGATATCAGAAATAAGTCACTTTGATTTTTATGGGCTGTCCTAGGTAATTTACATATATGTTGTTATGTATAATAATTGTACTTTTATGTACCTGTACCGAAATAAACTTACTGGATTCAGTTTTTCAACTCAAGACTGGTACATTCTGTTTTCCAAAGTTATTCCTGCGAGTTTTGCATGGTACTCTACGCATACAAGGAGCTTCACATGTCTATCTTCAAGTACACTGTCTATAAATATGTATTATTTACACATTATTTAAGTAATGTTTCTTAGTAAAGAGATATTTGAATTAATTTCAGCGATTTGGTTACAGTATTAATGCAAGTTCATTTATGTTTGTAGATACATTACTATGGCTTCATCTTCCAAGAAGATTACCTACACAAGTGATTTTAAGCTTAAAGTCTTGGATTATTATTTCAAAAATGGAGGTGATGAGAACTTTGGACTTAAAAAAAAAACTGCAGGCCATTTCAATATTGACAAGAAGACAATTAACCGGTAAGCTAATAATTTAGTAAATTACTGTATATGAAAACTTTGTTAACAATGTTGATGCCATCCTTCTGTTGACAAGAAATCTGAAAATTATTGGTAGGAATCATATAGTATTGTATAGTAATTGAATTTATTAGCAGGTAACTCTTCAGTTATTATTATTATAATCATAACTAAGAACTAAGCCCAGAAGGGTCATACAGTGTGTGGTGTGTGGTAACTCTTCAAGGGGGCTGCCTTTTTATATATACAGCCTCTCCTGACTTAACAAATGAGTTCCATTCCTAAGACTTATGTCCTAAAACAAACTCGTCACTAAGCAAGGAGCATACTATAATAGTAGTGGGTTTGTGTCATCCATCTTTGATATTGTTTTAACCCCTTCAGGGTCCAAGGCCCAAATCTGAAGTGGTGCCCCAGTGTCCAAGAATTTTCAGAAAAAAAAAATTGTTATTTTTTCTTATGAAATGGTAGAGAATCTTTTTGTGAAGGTAATAAAACAAAAAGTACGAAATTTGATGGAAAATTGACGAAATTATGCTCTCGCAAATTTTGATGTGTCAGCGATATTTACAAATCGGTGATTTTGCTGACTTTGACTCCCATTTTAGGCCAATTACATTATTCCAGTCAACCAAATTCCTAGCTATTTCACTAGTGTTACTTCTATTCTATCGATTGAGCACAAGAAATCGCCAAGTCAACTGTTTCAACTACAAATTAAAGTGATCGGAAATTGTTAATTTGGCCAATTTAACACAAAGTTCAAAATATTCCAATTTCAAAATAGGGTCCAGAATAAACAATGTAGGCATTCCTGGCACTAAACTAACATTTCCTCTGTTCATTAGTTATGTTTTGAGGCTTTACAAATAAATTCCATTTTGATTTTTTATTCACAATGAATTTTTATTCACACCAAAAAATAGAAGGTTTACTGTTATGCAATACTGTAATAATTGTATAAATATCATCACCATATTTGTGAATGCATATTAGACCCACCAGCTGGCGTGTATTAGATGTGTGAGGTCGTTTGTTTACTCTTGAATATCGGCAAAAATTTAACATTTCTGCTACTTTGAGCTCAGCTTCAAGCCATTTCCAGTGCTAAAACCAATCAAAATCATCTCTATTTCTGTAATATGTCTTCCATTCTATCAAATGAGACCAAGAAATCGCAAATACAACTATAAAAAACATACGAAAAAACACTGCAAAGTCGCTGTTTTAATCAAAAAATCATGATTTCAGTTTTTTTCTCTGCAGTGTGCTGCAGGATCTGTTTTATGTGGTGCACACATACCACATAGATGTATTCTCTCATATCTAGGCCCAAATGTACCACTCACAGTTTATTGAACCGTTTCAGCAGTAAAGATACCCAACTGAGGCACATGTGTCTTACTCCTCATACTGTAGCAGTTCTCTGTGAAAGATTGTAATATACAATGTATTATTTTTCCTACAGAATGTTAAACAACCCTGACATGGTGAAGCGGGCTAGAAAGCTTTTGACAAAGAAAGTCACTGGCAGTACCAAAGGAGCGGCTGCTGCTCGCCATGGAGGTACTAAGGCTACTGCCAAAGGTGCTAAAGCTAGTGGCAGTAAACTTGGCACATCGGGGGGCAAACTTGGCTCATCGGGGGCCAAACTTGGCTCGTCGGGGGCCAAACTTGGCTCATCAGGGACCAAACTTAGCTCATCGGGCACCAAACTTGGCTCGTCGGGGGCAAAGCTTAACTCATCCAGACCTGCCATGTCTGGAGGCAAACTTGGCAGCGCTGGCACTTCAGGCAGAGTAGCAGGCTCTAGTTACGCTTGTGCCGCAAACACCAGCAGTAGCACTCTAAAAACACCTACCTCATCTTCCATCAGTACAAAACACATGGGCGGTAGTGGCAGTAACCAAGGCAGCAGCGGCAATGCAACAAATGCTGCGACCAAGTCCAACTCCTCCAAGATAAAATATATGGGTCAGGAAGGCAGTGTACGTATTGAATTTTTTTGTACTGGATATAATGAAACTTAAATTCATTGCACCAAAGGGCTTTAGTTTAAAAAAAATTATATATTGAGGGGGAGGGTGGCAACTCTGTAAGATCATTCATTAGCTGGGTAATGAGAGGTGATTAGGTGTAATCCAAGGAAGGAGAGGGTAGCCACAATTCCATCGATCAAGAGCCCTTCAGTTAAAGCAGAAACAATAGATGAAGATTGAGACACTTATGCAGCATATGGGAATCTTTATTCTGAATAAAGATTCCCATATGCTGCATAAGTGTCTCAATCTTCAACTTGTCGGTTTTTCAAACCATTCATCACAAGAAACAATAGATGTTGAATATTTTTATTACCTACTAAATTTATCAAGTGATGTACATTACAACCTCAGTTTTTTAACCATAGTGTAGGCACACCTCAGGCAAGACAGTGATGGAGTGAATGATGATGAAAGTGTTTCTCCTTTTTTGAGTCGCCCATCCTTGGTGAGAAACAGTTGATGTACTAATAAAAAAAATAACCTGTACATGCATATGGCAATTACCAATTTCTAAACCTAGTTGAATCTTAATCACTATGCAAAACCCAACTTACATAACACCAGAATCATGTGACCTCATTGTCTACCTCAGTGTTATTCACTAATTTTTGCAAGAGAGCCACTTCGGTTACACACATTGATTGAGAGAGCCGCAGCTACTGCAAGTTAGCGTAACTCCACTAAATTAAGTAGTACTGAGCTGCTAGTGCAATATAGTAAATGAGAAAAATTAGACATGGTAATATTAGCCTGCATATCTTGTTATTAATAGCAAAATAAAGACCAAACTTACTTAATGCTGTGATGAGCGGAAGTGTGCTAGCTGCTGCTTAACTCAAATCGATCCATCATAACGGACACTACTTGACTGCACTTTGGTTTCAAGTAAAACTAGCCCATCGCAGCTAGCTTCCACAAGCAGCAACAGTTAAGTCGTTACTTTCATATATGTTGCCGCAGTCTCAAATATCTGTTGCCTATTTTCAAACACAAATCTCCAAGAGTAACAAAATACGTCCAGTCTCCCCCCAAAGCTTGAACTCGACTGATTCAGCGAGACCACCGACGCCTAGAGCTAGACGTGTCCCTGATCAGTTTCCCGTAGTGGACACGTATGATTTCTGTACGACTAGGGTAGGGATGTTAGAATGTTGTCTCTTACTGTGACTTCATCTTCCATCTCACCTCATGAAAATATGTATCTTACTTGAAAAATTATTTTTCTATATATTTTTTTTATTAATTTACATATTTTTCGAGAGCCATGAATTGAGTCATCGCGAGCTGCCAGCGGCTCGCGAGCCGCGCAATGAATACCACTGGTCTACCTGATCTCATCCCAATAAGCTTCACTTGCATTTTTCAGGTCACTATGGGTCACTCAAACTCCTCTTTCTGCCCCCCCCCCCCCTCTTTTTTTTTTAAACATGGCCATTTCTCACCAAGGCAATGTGACCCGAAAAAGAAGAAACACACATCATCACTCTCTCCATCACTCTCTTACCAGAGGTATGCCAATACCACAGTTAAAGAATTGCAACATACTTCCACCCCTCTCTACCTCCGTGTGTTAGAAATGTAAATATGTCCTAGTGTTTGCTCACTTGAACCAGTCTATCAGTATCAGTTACCAAGGTTTATACCAAGTAATGGGTTATCTTAGGTAATTTATGCTATATATGATAGTTGTACTTATGTGTACCTGTGCCTAAATAAACATACTTTTATTATAAAGAAGAGTGTAAAGCAAGCAGTTGATAAATGTGAACAAGTTGAAAGAGAGAGAGAGAGAGAGGGAATTATGACTTAATATTTGTTTGCTAATAATGAGCAACATGGCTGAGTGTAAATACAGAAATTTCATTACTGTAATGCTGTATTTGTGCATGTAAGAGGCATAGTGTATTCTGAGGAATCATTGTATACTTGATTTTATAAAAAATTCATTTTACATTTGTAGGGAGTTCAAGTTTTTGATCTGCCAGAAGACCCTGACTACTCTCTTCTAAAGCGCTCAATCAATGCCTCTGCTAATGGAGTTGCAAATATTGCTAGATTACTTGTTACTGCAACAGAAGAGGTAAGTCAAAAGAGAATGGCTGTACTTATGTTTAAAATTTAGAGTTTGCTCTTGGAATGCTTAGAAAACACACAAACCCTCATAGAGGAGAATGAAACTTCTGATGTTTTGGTCTGACTTGAACCATTAACTAGTCACACAGAAGCGTGAAGGGAAGGGAGCACTACTACTATTTGACTACTTCCTCCTCTTGTTCGTCTGCTGGCCCCGCCCTCTTGTATATATACAGCCTCTCCTCACTTAACGACAGAGCTCCGTTCCGTCGTAAATGAATTTGTTGTTAAGTGAGAAGCATACTATAATGATCGTGGGTTTGTGTCATTCATCTTTAATATTGTTTTAATGTCGCCTTTGCACCATTTATAACATTTCTGGTATATTTTCAAATGTTTACACAGTACAGTGGACCCTCGACCAACGATATTAATCCGTTCCTGAGAGCTCATCGTTAATCGAAATTATCGTTAGTTGAGTTAATTTTCCCCATAAGAAATAATGGAAATCAAATTAATCCATGAAAAAAAAAATTTACCACATGAAATATTAATTTTAATACACACAAACTGAAGAAGACATGTACAATTACATGACACTTACCTTTATTGAAGATCTGGTGATGATTGATGGGATGGGAGGAGGGGAGAGTGTGGATGGTGTTAGTGTTTAGAAGGGGAATCCCCTTCCATTAGGACTTGAGGTGTCAAGTCCTTTTCCAGGGTTACTTCCCTTCTTCTTTTAATGCCACTAGGAGCAGCTTGAGAGTCACTGGACCTCTGTCGCACAACATATCTGTCCATAGAGGCCTGTACCTGCCGTTCCTTTATGACATTCCTAAAGTGTTTCACAACATTGTCAGTGTCACAATTAAACACTTGTTCAGTTTTCAATTCTTCACTGTCTATGTACTCCTTGAATTCCTGCACATATTTTTCAGCTGCTTTTTGGTCCGAACTGACAGCCTCACCATGCCTTATCACACTATGTATGCCACTACGATTCTTAAATCTCTCAAACCAACCTTTGCTGGCCTTAAATTCACTCACATCACCACTAGTTGCAGGCATTTTTCTAATTAAATCGTCATGCAACTTCCTAGCCTTTTCACATATGATCGCTCGAGAGATGCTATCTCCTGCTATCTGTTTTTCGTTTATCCACACCAATAACAGTCTCTCAACATCTTCTATCACTTGCAATCTCAGTTTCAAAAACATAGTTGCACCTTTGGCAAGAACAGCTTCCTCGATTGCCGTTTTCTTGGCCACAATAGTAGCGATGGTTGATTGGGGTTTTGTGTACAACCTGGCCAGTTCAGAGACACGCACTCCACTTTCATATGTAGCAATGATCTCTTTCTTCATATCCATAGTAATTCTCACCCTTTTTGCTGTAGGGTTGGCACTAGAAACTTTCTTGGGGCCCATGGTGACTTATTTTGCAGGTGCAATCACTAAAAACGCTGTGATAATATGAAATGTTCCGATTGTATGTTTGGATGGGACCGCGGCGGCTGGCTGGCTTGTAAACACTGGCCACAAGTGGACGCGTCTCGAACGGAATGAATTGTGTTGGTCGAGTTTTTTAGCGCTAGTCGAGGCAAAATTTTTGCGTTAAAATGTATTGCTAGTCGGATTTGACGTTAGACGATGCCATCGTTGGTCGAGGGTCCACTGTTATGTACTGTATATTGTAATAAACAGATTAGAGAAAATCAGCTCTAATATACATTATTTAAGTATGCATAGTGGTCAAAGAGCCCGTCGTAAGTCTGAGTCGTCGGTAAACAAGTACATTGCTAAATGAGAAGAGGGTGTACTGACTCCCTTTCTTTTGTGCTTCTCTGTGACTAGTTATTGGTCCAAGTCGGACAAAAAACATTGTTATAAATTTTATTCTCCCATGTTTAGGTTATTTGTGTATTGCTCCAGTCATGGTATTGTGCCTTTTTCTTTGTTTGGAAAGCATTTCAACCAAGGTTAGTGCAGATCAGTTTAGGTGATTCAGAGCCTGTTCCTCTGAAAGCATCCTTGTTTGGTAATATAAAAAATTTGGGCGCAGAAATATTTTGCTAAATTTTCCATGTACAATACTGTTGAAAAGTTTCATAATTACAAAAAATAAAGCTCTCCTTTTTGTATTTCCAGTCTGATCTGTGTTTCATTGATGTATATAGAGAGGAGAAGGGAGGTGATATTTTTGGTGTGAGGAGAAAAAAGTGTTAATCTGTGGTAGCCTCTATTTCTACAATCTCTGATTCTGTCTACTCTTTGTAAATAAACAAAACCTCTGCTCCAAATGCTACTGTTAATGCTTGTCACATTTCTGAGCATGGCTTCAGTTTGTAAGCAGAAATAGTGAGATTTCAGTGGGTAAATTTCAGTTGCATTGATATGTATTATTTTTATTTGATGGTTTTCATACCAATTGTGGTATAATTCATTTACTGTGATTTCTGTTTTTTGTCAGAGTAGGTTCCCAACTTGTGATTTCATTCTTGTGTAAGTGTTTAACACTTCTTGGTCCCATCACTTGCTAATTATGTTTTGCTTCTGACAGGATTAATGCATTTTTTCTGTCATGATCATCTAAGATGCCAGGTAAATCCTACAAACTTGTACTTAGATTTAGTTTACTCATGCCTTTATTTTCATGTGTTCTTAATAAATCCTATTTCTGTAATACTTCCTTTCCTATTTTAGAAGTCTATGGGGTCGAAAATCCCTGGAACCATTAACAGATTTAACCTCAGGGCTTCAGTCTTGACATGATGCATGCTATAATCATCAGGGCCACAATGTTCTCTTATCAGGTCTATATTCCAAAATACCATGCCTTGGAACCTGATGGGGTGTTTAGGAAGGTCTAGGTCAGAGTGATCTCCAGAACCTGTCATTTGTGGCTTTCCACATATAGTAGAGAGAAAAAGGGTCTATTCTTGAATGCAATATTCAGGGTCTTCTTGCCCAGAAAAATGGCCTATTCTTGGATGCAATATTCAGGGTCTTCTTGCCCTGATCCACTGGGAGGCCTGGTCAAGGACTGGGGTCGCGGAGGCGTCGACCCTTGAAACAACCTCCGGGTAGGTAGGTAGGCTGACTTCAGCTAACCCCCACAATTAGGTGTGGGACTTCACTCAGGATCTGCAGTGGGAATTGTATCTGGGCCAACTAGTTGTATAGCATTTCACTTTCAAAGACCTTTTCTCTGTCTTACAGTTCCTGTCTCTGAGAAAATAATAAATATTCATGCTTTCAAATTAATTAAGGTTACAGTGGTTCTACAAATTTATTTGTTTTTTCTTTCAGGTCCGCAAAATCATCCTTAATGAATGTGACATGATAATAGAGTGCAAAGTTTGCCACAATCTTTTCCGTTCAGTGGTCAACTTTTTAGCACATAAGAGAATATACTGCCAAGAAGAGTTTGCTGATGTTAGAACACTGTTTCACAAAGTAAGTGGTCAGATGCTTATCTAGTGCAGTGTATAGAGTCTGCCTCCACTACTTCTTCACTGAGATCATTCCACTTTCCACCCCAAGATTAAGAAACACTTCTGACATCCATTTTCCTCAACTGTGTCTTTAACTTCCAGCTGTGTTCCTAAATTCATCATTTCTTCCTTGTCAATTTCCCTTAGTATTTTGTATGCTGTTATCTATATATATATTCTATTCTCTGATGTCATAGATTTAATTCCATTAGCCTCCCTCATAGTTTATGTACCTTAACTCATAAATATTCTTGTTGCATACTTCTACTTTTCTCGTTTCTTAAAATGTTTCCTCAAGTGTGGGTTCCATACTGGTGCTATATACTCCAAGATGGGCCTGACCATGGAATATGTTGATCTGTATATTTTAACCTCTAAGTTGCATTTTAGCAGATGAAAAGGACTTCAGTTGGAGATCCATATACAGGCCAGCTTTATTTTCCGTGTTCCTGCTTCCACGTGTGTTACTGTTAATGTTACTCATTTTAAGAACTGTATTTAATAAGACCTTAGTGTCCTGTGGCTTGGTAGGCAATGCTCTCATCTCACACACTGAGTGTCTGTGGTTCAATCCCTGACAAGGGTGGAAATGTTGGGCATGTTTCCTTACACCTGCTGTCCTTGTTCACCTAGCAGTAAATGGACGGTACCTGGGTGTTAGTCAACTGGTGTGGGTTGCATCCGGAGGAACAAGATTGAATGACCCCAATGGAAATAAGCCACAGAGTCCTCGATGGTGCACTGACTTTCTTGGGTTATCCTGGGTGGTTAACCCTTCAGGTTATGAATCCAAACAAATCTTATCTTAATGTAAGGTAGCTCAGTGGTAATGAATTTGGCTTGCAGTCAAAGGACTTGGGTTCAGTCCCAGGTGGTCCAAGATATACATGTTTTCCTGTTACCCTGCTGTAAATAGGTACTTGTGTGTTAACTCAGTTAATCCTAGGGAAAAGGATTCCTTGGGTACTGCTCGGCTTTGAAATGAGTTGAGACTCAATAAGTAATCTTATCCTGTAAATACAGTGATGTTTTAAAAAAAGTGTTATCAAGGTGTTATCTTTGTACCATATCTGAGTCCAGGTAATGTAAGATGACCTGGCTAGAGACTATGACCGAGAAGATTTATTTGTTGATGGGAACATATACAGAATATAACTAAATATTTTAATTGTTTCCAACATTGCTTAATGAAAACCTTGACATATAGGATTATGAGATGGTGGACTGAAAGATGTTATACAATTCTGTAAGAGCAGAGTTTTCTGATAAGTGTTTTAATGGCTAAAGAGTGAAATCAAAACATGACAAGTTCATCAGTGATAGAGGCTGAGTAAGAGATAAAATACATAATGAATGAGTTATTGAAAGCATAAATATGGGTAAAGCTTTTGAGGGTCAGGTTGATTTGTTTGAGAAAATGGCTTTTCTGTAAATAACAATGATAATTGAGATTATTCATTAGATAAGTGGTAGGATAATTACAGTACCATTAGTAAAGGTTGAATTGTATTGACAAGATTTGATATTCTGAGCTACTAAATTTTTTTTTTTTTAACAAGTCAGCCATCTCCCACCAAGGCAGGGTGACCCAAAAAGAAAGAAAATCCCCAAAAAGAAAATATTTTCATCATCATTCAACACTTTCGCCTCACTCACACATAATCACTCTTTTTGCAGAGGTGCTCAGAACACAACAGTTTAGAAGCATATGTACTTCCCATTTCCAGGACTCAAGTCCAGCTATATAAAAATAACTGGTTTCCCTGAATCCCTTCACTAAATATTACCCTGCTCACACTCCAACAGAGTGTCAGGTCCCAAATACCATTTGTCTCCATTCACTCCTATCGAACACGCTCATGCATGCCTGCTGGAAGTCCAAGCCCCTCACCCACAAAACCTCCCTTACCCTTTTCTTCCAACCTTTTAAAGGATGTCAAGGACGACCCCTACCCCGCCTGCCTTCCCCTACAGATTTAAATGCTTTCCATGTCATTCTACTTTGATCCATTCTCTCTAAATGACCAAACCACCGCAACAGCCCCTCTTCAGCCCTCTGACTTATACTTTTATTAACTCCACACCTAATTTCCACACTCCGAATTTTCTGCATAATATTTACACCACACATTGCCCTTAGACAGGACATCTCCACTGCCTCTAACCACCTCCTCACTGCTGCATTCACAATCCAAGCTTCACACCCATATAAGAGTGTTGGTACTACTATACTTTCATACATTCCCTCCTTTGCCTCCATAGATAACGTTTTTTGTCTCCACATATACCTCAACGCACCATTCACCTTTTTTCCCTCGTCAATTTTGTGATTAACCTCATCCTTCATAAATCCATCCGCCGACACGTCAACTCCCTTCTTGAAATTAAGACATGTGCAACATCTGGGTATCTTTATTGTATACGTTTTGCCATCCAGTGGCTTTATCAATACAAATTCTAGGACATAGCTTGAAGACAGTAGGACTATATACAGAAGATGAGGTAATCAGTCCCTCAACCTAGGAGTAGGTGTGAAGAGCACCATAGCCGTGGAGATTCTGAAGCAGAAGCAAGGAGCCTGGCGCTTATATAGTAACGTCAGGTGTAGCAGATGAGGGTATAGTCACTGGTAGGCGGGATTCCCCAGTGGAAGTAGGTCCTTCCCAAAGAGATGGGTTAGTTGTAGTAGGAGTTGTCGTAGTCGTGAAGGTTATGTATATGTCCTCAGAATCAAGATTCCATGATGTTGCAGTGTCTGACAAGTTGTACAAGAATGATATATAATACCGACAAGATGAAATTAAGACACATGTGCAACATCTGGGTATCTTTATTGTAGACGTTTCGCCATCCAGTGGCTTTATCAATACAAATTCTAGGACATAGCTTGAAGACAGTAGGACTATATACAGAAGATGAGGTAATCAGTCCGTCAACCTAGGAGTAGGTGCGAAGAGCACCATAGTCGTGGAGATTCTGAAGCAGAAGCAAGGAACCTGGCGCTTATACAGGTCTCCCTCAACATTCACGTTTTCAGCTTTCGCGGGCTTCGCACATTCGCGAATTCCCAACCGCCAAATTCCCAACCGCCAAATTCCCAGCCGCCAAATCATATTCAAGTTTCCCGCCACCTGCGAGTCCCTACTACCCTCCCTCCGACCCCCGCAACTGGCAGCCAGCCCTCCCACCACTCAGTGTGGTGAGTGTTTTGTTTGTTCATTATTTGCTATTAAACTGCAGTATAAATAATGTAAACCCATTCATGACTGCATATTGGAATGGTTATTCGGACAGGTATTAGACGGTGACATGTGTTTACTTTTGAACACAGCAAAGAATCAAACATTTCTGCTACTGCTAATAATAACAATAGTAATAATAATAATAAATACGATATAATTGAAGAAGGAAGTTGTACAAAAATACGAGGGAGTGGTTGACACATCGTCAGTGTGGCTTTGTTTATGCTGGAGTGAGCATTAGTCTCCCTGCTCTTCCAAACATTTCACAATAATTCATTGTGTTTGGTACTTGTAGATTGAGTGCGACTGGAGTGGTAGAGGCAGTGGTTGAGGCAGCTGGTGAGGAAGCGATTGAGGCAGTGGTATTTAAGAACATACATGTTATTAATAATAATAATACATGTTATTAATATGTACTATTATTATTTATAACATATATGTTATTAAATACCACTGCCTCAACCGCTGAATTATTGTGAAATGTTTGGAAGAGCAGGGAGACTAATGCTCACTCCAGCATAAACAAAGCCACACTGACGATGTGTCAACCACTCCCTCGTATTTTTGTACAATTTCCTTCTTCAATTATATCGTATTATTATTCTTATATTATTATTATTATTATTATTATTATTATTATTATTATTACTATTGTTATGATTAGCAGTAGCAGAAATGTTTGATTCTTTGCTGTGTTCAAGACTAAACACATGATGTCACCATCCAATACCTGTCTGAATAGCCATTCCAATATGCAGTCATGAATGGGTTTACATTATTTATACTGTAGTTTAATAGCAAATAATGAACAAACAAAACACTCACCACACTGAGTGGTGTGAGGACTGGCTGCCAGTTGCGGGGGTCGGACGGAGGGTAGTAGGGACTCGCAGTGGTTGGGGAATGGTGGAGGCATTGGTGGAGTCTGTGGTATTTAATAACATACATGTTATTAAAGCATAACATGTATATATTTAGTACAATTTACGACATTTTCATGTATTTTATGATTGTTCATGGTTCAACAAGTTAAGGAAGCAGTATTGTATTATATTTCCCTACAATATATTGGGGCACCAAACATTCACGGTTTTTCAACATTCGCGAGGCTCTTGATCCCCTAACCCTCGCGAATGTTGAGGGAGACCTGTATAGTAACGTCAGGTGTAGCAGACGAGGGTATAGTCACTGGTAGGCGGGATTCCCCAGTGGAAGTAGGTCCTTCCCAAAGAGATGGGTTAGTTGTGGTAGTAGTTGTCGTAGTCATGAAGGTTATGTACATGTCCTCAGAATCAAGATTCCATGATGTTGCAGTGTCTGACAAGTTGTACAAGAATGGTATATAATACTGACAAGATGAAATTAAGACACATGTGCAACATCTGGGTATCTTTATTGTAGACGTTTCGCCATCCAGTGGCTTTATCAATACAAATTCTAGGACATAGCTTGAAGACAGTAGGACTATATACAGAAGATGAGGTAATCAGTCCCTCAACCTAGGAGTAGGTGCGAAGAGCACCATAGTCGTGGAGATTCTGAAGCAGACGCAAGGAGCCTGGCGCTTATATAGTAACGTCAGGTGTAGCAGACAAGGATATAGTCACTGGTAGGCGGGATTCCCCAGTGGAAGTAGGTCCTTCCCAAAGAGATGGGTTAGTTGTAGTAGTAGTTGTCGTAGTCGTGAAGGTTATGTACATGTCCTCAGAATCAAGATTCCATGATGTTGCAGTGTCTGACAAGTTGTACAAGAATGGTATATAATACCGACAAGATGAAATTAAGACACATGTGCAACATCTGGGTATCTTTATTGTAGTCGTTTCGCTATCCAGTGGCTTTATCAGTACAAATTCTAGGACATAGCTTGAAGACAGTAGGACTATATACAGAAGATGAGGTAATCAGTCCCTCAACCTAGGAGTAGGTGCGAAGAGCACCATAGTCATGGAGATTCTGAAGCAGAAGCAAGGAGCCTGGCGCTTATATAGTAACGTCAAGTGTAGCAGACGAGGGTATAGTCACTGGTAGGCGGGATTCCCCAGTGGAAGTAGGTCCTTCCCAAAGAGATGAGTTAGTTGTAGTAGTAGTTGTCGTAGTCGTGAAGGTTATGTACATGTCCTCAGAATCAAGATTCCATGATGTTGCAGTGTCTGACAAGTTGTACAAGAATGGTATGTTATACCGACAAGATGAAATTAAGACACATGTGCAACATCTGGGTATCTTTATTGTAGACGTTTTGCCATCCAGTGGCTTTATCAATACAAATTCCACGACTACAACAACTACTACTACAACTAACCCATCTCTTTGGGAAGGACCTACTTCCACTGGGGAATCCCGCCTGCCAGTGACTATACCCTCGTCTGCTACACTTGACGTTACTATATAAGCGCCAGGCTCCTTGCTTCTGCTTCAGAATCTCCACGACTATGGTGCTCTTCGCACCTACTCCTAGGTTGAGGGACTGATTACCTCATCTTCTGTATATAGTCCTACTGTCTTCAAGCTATGTCCTAGAATTTGTATTGATAAAGCCACTGGATGGCGAAACGTCTACAATAAAGATACCCAGATGTTGCACATGTGTCTTAATTTCATCTTGTCGGTATTATATACCATTCTTGTACAACTCCCTTCTTCCATACTCCTCCTCCCCAATTTGATATCCAATTTTTCTTTATCTAAATCATTTGATACCCTCATCACCTTACTCTTTTCTATGTTCACTTTCATCTTTCTACCTTTACACACACTCCCAAACTCATCCACTAACCTTTGCAATTTTTCTTTAGAATCTCCCATAAGCACATTATCATCAGCAAAAAGCAACTGTCAATTCCCATTTTGTATTTGATTCCCCATAATTTAATTCCACCCGTCTCCCCAACACCCTAGCATTTACTTCTTTTACAACCCCATCTATAAATATATTTAACAGCCATGGTGACATTACACATCCCTGTCTAAGACCTACTTTTACCAGGAAGTAGTCTCCCTCTCTTCTACACACCCTAACCTGAGCATCACTATCCTCATAAAAACTCTTTACAGCATTTAGTATCTTACCACCTATTCCACATACTTGCAACATCTGCCACATTGCTCCCCTATCCACTCTATCATTTGCCTTTTCTAAATCCATAAATGAAATAAAAACTTCCCTACCTTTATCTAAATACTGTTCATATACAGTGGACCCTCAACCAGCGATATTAATCTGTTCCTGAGAGCTCATCGTTAATCGAAATAATCGTTAGTCAAGTTAATTTTCCCCATAAGAAATAATAGAAATCAAATTAATCCGTGCAAGACACCCCAAAGTATTGAAAAAAAAAATTTTACCACATGAAATATTAATTTTAACACACAAACTGAAGAAGACATGCACAGTTACATGACACTTACCTTTATTGAAGATCTGGTGATGATTGATGGGATGGGAGGAGGGGAGACCGTTGATCTTCTTAGTGTTTAGAAGGGGAATCCCCTTCCATTAGCACTTGAGGTAGCAAGTCTTTTTCTGGGATTACTTCCCTTGTTCTTTTAATGCCACTAGGACCAGCTTCAGAGTCACTGGACTTCTGTCACACAACATATCTGTCCATAGATACCTGTACCTCTCGTTCCTTTATGACTTTCCTAAAGTGGTTCACAACATTGTCAGTGTACAGGTTGCCAACACGGCTTGCAGTAGTTGTGTCAGGGTGATTTTCATCAAAAAAGGTTTGCACTTCAAGCCACTTTGCACACATTTCCTTAATCTTAGAAGTAGGCAACTTCTTCAATTTCTCTATCCCCTCCTCCAAAGCAGTTTCCTCAGGTCTGCCCTCTTGCTGTTCAAGATGATCTAGCAGCTCATCAGTAGTTAGTTCTTCATTGTCCTCCTCCACCAGCTCTTCCACATCCTCCCCACTAACCTCCAACCCCAAGGACTTCCCCAATGCCACAATGGATTCCTCAACTGGCATAGGATTCTCAGGGTTAGCCTCAAACCCTTCACAATCCCTTTTGTCTACACATTCTTGCCATAGTTTTTTCCAAGCAGAGTTCAAGGTCCTCTTAGTCACTTCCTCCCAAGCCTTACCTATAATGTTTACACAATTGAGGATGGTAAAATGATCTTTCCAAAACTCTCTTAGAGTCAGTTGAGTTTCTGAGGTCACTACAAAGCACCTTTCAAACATAGCTTTTCTGTACAGTTTCTTGAAGTTGGAAATGACCTGCTGGTCCATGGGCTGCAGGAGAGGAGTGGTATTAGGAGGCAAAAACTTCACCTTAATGAAGCTCGTGTCCCTAGAAAGTCGCTCTGCCAAGTCTGAAGGATGACCAGGAGCATTGTCTAATACCAGGAGGCACTTAAGGTCTAATTTCTTTTCAAATAGGTAATTTTTCACATTGGGGGCAAATGCATGGTGTAACCAGTCATAGAAAAAGTCCCTAGTGACCCATGCCTTACTGTTTGCCCTCCACAGCACACACAAATTAGCCTTGACGACATTGTTTTTCCTGAACACTCTGGGAGTTTCAGAGTGATACACCAATAAAGGCTTCACTTTGCAATCACCACTAGCATTGGCACACATAAACAGAGTAAGCCTGTCTTCCATAGGCTTATGTCCTGGGAGTGCCTTTTCCTCCTGAGTAATGTACGTCCTGCTTGGCATTTTCTTCCAAAACAGGACTGTTTCGTCACAATTAAACACTTGTTCAGGTTTAAGTCCTTCACTGTCTGTGTACTCCTTGAATTCCTGCACATATTTTTCAGCCGCTTTGTGGTCCGAACTGGCAGCCTCACCATGCCTTATCACACTATGAATGCCACTATGCTTCTTAAATCTCTCAAACCAACCTTTGCTGACCTTAAATTCACTCACATCACTAGTTGCTGGCATTTTTTTAATTAAATCGTCATGCAACTTCCTAGCCTTTTCACATATGATCACTTGAGAGATGCTATCTCCTGCTGTCTGTTTCTCGTTTATCCACACCAATAAGAGTCTCTCAACATCTTCTACCGCTTGCGATCTCAGTTTCGAAAACATAGTTGCACCTTTGGCAAGAACAACTTCCTTGATTGCCGTTTTCTTGCCCACAATAGTAGCGATGGTTGATTGGGGTTTATTATACAACCTGACCAGCTCAGAGACACGCACTCCACTTTCATACTTAGCAATGATCTCTTTCTTCATCTCCATAGTAATTCTCACCTTTTTTGCTCTAGGGTTGGCACTAGAAGCTTTCTTGGGGCCCATGGTGACTTATTTTGCAGGTGCAATCACTACAAAGGCTGTGATAATATGAAATGTTCCAGTTGTATGTTTGGAAGCGACTGCAGTGGCTGGCTTGTAAACACTGGCATCCACGGGACAAGTGAGGCGCGCTCAGGCCAAAGTGGACGCGTCTCATACGGAACGAATAGTGCTGGTCGGGTTTTTAAGCGCTAGTCGAGGCAAAATTTTTGCATTAAAATGTATCGCTAGTCAGATTTATCGTTAATCGATGCCATCGCTGGTTGAGGGTCCACTGTATATGCTTCAATGTAAACACTTGATCTACACATCCCCTACCCACTCTGAAATCTCCTTGCTCATCCGCAATCCTACATTCTGTCATACCTCTAATTGTTTCAGTTATAACCCTACCGTACACTTTTCCTGGTATACTCAGTAAACTTATTCCTCTATAATTTTTACAATCTCTTTTGTCCCCCTTCCCTTTATATAAAGGGACTATACATGCTCTCTGCCAATCCCTAGATACCTTCCCCTCTTTCAACAAAATATCAAATGCTGGGTACAAATGTTGTTGGTACGACATCGAATTTTGTTTTGAAAACCAGCTCTTTTGTAAGTGATTGGATGCTTTACAGTATCACAAAACTATGAATGAATTTAAGGACTGCAGCTCATAAGAGACTGTCAACAGGATGATGTACAAGGCATCACAAGTCATTCCAATACAGTGTTTGTGGAACCCGAGCCACCCCCTGATGTGCACCCTTCCACCTCCTCTGCACCGGACTTACTGAGCAAACCTGCTAGGAGTGCCATGCAAGGAATGTCAAGGCATACAGGAATTGATTCAATAGCTGCCAAATTGTCCAACAGAAGAAAGCAGCGAGCTGAATCACATGACACTGGCACAGCATCGTCCAAATATTATGAGCGGTAAGAACGTTTTGTTTTGTTTGTGGCTCAAGCATTATAGCTCAGGTTGATTATTATTATATTCTTGGGGAAGCACGACATATAGTATCTTCACCAGGTGCCAGATCAACCCGGCTGTGATAAAAATGTGCATCAGTAGACCACTAGTAGCAGCATCCTGGTTGATCAGGCAAGCACTGGATGAGCCTGGCCCATAGCTGGGCTCTGGTAGTAGAAAAACACTTGGAACTCATCAAAGGTATATCAGAGATGGTCATCCAGTGTCTGGGAAATGAAAGGTGTAGCCTTAATTCCTCAGATCAAGAATTCTTAAGGCTCAAGGATCCTTCCTTGAAGGAAGCTCAGGTGGACCCATTTCCCTGTGGCTTATTTGCACTATTAAGATCGCTTGTTTGTACCCCATTCCATCCTAATTCTGGCAGTCACTGTGTCATGCAATCTAGTGGACATTTTATGTTGCCCATACACATAATTTTCTTACCAAAACAAATAACATTAAAGCTAAAATACATTACAATACTACTGTATTACCCATTTTTTAGTAATAATCACCAAACAGTTGTAAGGCTCTATTTTGGTCAACATTTGAACAGAAACTTCTACCTTAATTTAGGTATGAAAAGAATTAAAATTACAGATAATAAAAAATTTGGTATTTACTATAAAAAGCATTTAAGGTCAATGTGAAAGTTAATGATCAAATATCTCAGAAAATATTTTTTTTGCCTGGCCTGATTGTGTCGTAACCCGTTCATCTATTTTCACTCTCCTTACAATTGGCATAGGATTTTTACTTCATTGTTGACCTGCTTAATAAAATATCTATACAAATATATCTTAAGATGTAATATTTTGATCATTTAATATATGGCAGCCTTAGAAAAAATGTGATTGTGGTCTGTATAGCTATCATTGTTGGCAAGTTGTATATAATTTTACCTTGAGGATTAAGCTCTTTTATACAATTGTCAGATTAAGGTTTTTCAGAGGTTTTAATAGTATTTTGATAATTTTCAGAGGTTTTAATAGTATTTTGATAATTTTCCCAGCTTGGGTCCTGTGTTATACAATTGTCAGGTAAAGGTTTGTAAGAGGTTTTAATGTTCAATAATTTTTCCAGCTTGGGTCTTGTAAATATGACACGAGATAAGCTAAGTCGCGATTGTTCTGTGGTGCTGGAAGACATAGGAGGTGTTGCAAATGCAAGATACCAAACTTTTTTGCCACCAAGTAGTTCTAACAGTGTGTCCATGAATACCATCCTTAGTGAGGTGAGATACTTGACAGTAAAAAAACTAAATTAAAATACTTAATGTTATGCAGTATTTTTGTGGCAGTATACAGAAAATTACTTGGAAATTTCATTCATTATCTATCAGTGCCTTAAAAAAAATTTTATTAATTTTTTTATTATATTTTATTCACAATATTGTAGTTATTATTTTACATCATAAAATCAAATGTGGTACGCCTCTTAAGTCTATTATACTGAGTATATGTGTGTACCTCTTTGTTTAGAGCTGTGAAAATATTCTAATATAATTATTTTGAAATTTCTTGTAATCAGGGGAGATTATTTCTTGGCTTCACAAAGTCAGAAGGGTCCTTGTGCATATTTCTTGCATGGTTTTGTCAGCTTTTTTTTAGTGTTCTTATCAGCTATACTCTAGAAAGACAACCTATGTAGTGCTCTTGATTTCAACCTACTGATTTTTAAATGGCATTTAGTATATGACTTGAGCAGTCTTATGTAAGAGGGTATACATATATATCAGTTTAAAGGAATCTTAGAGTTTTATTTTTATATTCAGTACTGTATATATCAGGATATGAAAAAATCCTGGAAATGGGAAGTACAATGTCTGCACTTTAAAGGAGGGGTTTGGGATATTGGCAGTTTGGAGGGATATGTTGTGTATCTTTATATGTGTATGCTTCTAAACTGTTGTATTCTGAGCACCTCTGCAAAAGCAGTGATAATGTGTGAGTGTGGTGAAAAGTGTTGAATGATGATGAAAGTATTTTCTTTTTGGGGATTTTCTTTCTTTTTTGGGTCACCCTGCCTCGGTGGGAGACGGCCGACTTGTTGGAAAAAAAAAAATATATCAGGATTTGAGTCCTAGAGGTGGGAAGTACAGTGTGTGCACTCTGAAGCAGGGGTGGGGATATTTGCAGTTTTGAACTGTAATATCAGTGTCCCTCTGGGAAGATAGTGATGGAGTGAATGATAATGAAAGTGTTTCTTCTTTTTTAGGTCACCCTACCTTAGTGGGAGATGGCCAATTTGTTGAAAAAAAAATCAGTATGGCCACACCGTGCCCATACTGGCACAGTGTGGCTCATTTGGTCTTTCATTGTGACTCTTGAGACAATATCCAAATTTGCTTCCTCAGAACCTATTTTCCCAGTAATCAGAGATGCTCTCCCAAGCCACAATATTTCATATCTTGTATATTTTTAAAATTGAGAAGGAAAAATGTTACTCAGATGAATTCCCTTTCTTCCCCTCACTTCCATCCCTTTTAACTTTTCCCCTCACATTCTCTCCCTCCCCCACTCTCACTATCTTTCCCCTTCTATATGACTGAATGCATTATACATATAGTCTCCACCATCTCACTGATAATTGAAAGTACTAGATGTTTGGGCATGTAGCAGTGGGAAGGAGTGGTGTGGGCATTGCATGGGTAGGATATGAGGGTAGATTAGGGCTAGTACAGTTAAACTGGGCAGAGGAGAGAGAGAAAGAGAAGGCATTCCCCCTTGACCCTACGGCCACCTATCAGGAGCCATGGCCTTTCCCTTCCCTGTCTTTGTAGCAGACTGCCAGCCTTTGAGACTCGCCTCATCCCAGGTACTTTTGAGTTGAGGTCTTGTTTGCAGGCTCCAGAACAACCTGCCTTACCAACCATCCCTTAGTTGTATGCCTCCTGCCAACCACTGAGGTAATGGATAGTGTAAATGATAAATCAGTAGTTTTTAACCAGTCTTTGCCAAACAAACATGAACTCTACACAAATGCATAAAACACATACAAACATATCAGTGAGTTTGGTAAACGCTAAAGGCGAAAACCTATTTATAATTCATCTTGACAAAATTGTTATTTTATAAATTACAGCTATTTACTAATTGCTACTTAAACAAGCATGAACTCTCCATACATGCATAAAATCAACATAGACAAACTCTGTCCAAGGAAAATTGTTTTATTACAAAAAATTTGTGAATATATGTAGTGATTGCATATGCAGAGCAGTGTTCATTAGTCATTAATTGGTTCCAAAGCGCAGCAATTATAAGTCTGATTATCATAAGTTAGGGACCTGCCATATTGATAATTGAGACACTTGGGCAACATTTATACACACATATGCCATATTGTTTCATTATTGCTGCACTAAATGATCATGAAAGTCTCATGTGACTCACGGGCCACACCACACCACATATATACAGTATGTGGACAACATGTAAGGAGGGATGATGGTGTTGCAGTTTGAAAGGACATCTGAACTGTAATATCAGCACACTTTTGGCAAGATAATGATTGACTGAATGATGGTGAATGTGATTTTTCTCTCCTTGCCTCAGTGGGAGATGGCCGGTGTATAAAAAAATAAAATATTTATGAATAGGTGTTTGGCATATAAGAATAAACATTAGGTACAAAAATCAGCTGTTGTGTATTTAATGAATATAATTATGCAAGACCTATATTCCTGGTAAAGGTGGGTCTTAGACAGGGATGTGTAATGTCACCATGGTTGTTTAATATATTTATAGATGGAGTTGTAAAAGAAGTAAATGCTAAGGTGTTCGGGAGAGGAGTGGGATTAAATTATGGGGAATCAAATTCAAAATGGGAATTGACACAGTTACTTTTTGCTGATACTGTGCTTATGGGAGATTCTAAAGAAAAGTTGCAAAGGTTAGTAGATAAGTTTGGGAGTGTGTGTAAAGGTAGAAGGTTGAAAGTGAACATAGAAAAGAGTAAGGTGATGAGGGTATCAAATTATTTAGATAAAGAAAAATTGGATATCAAATTGGGGAGGAGGAGTATGGAAGAAGTGAATGTTTTCAGATATTTGGGAGTTGAATTGTCAGCGGATGGATTTATGAAGGAAGAGGTTAACCATAGAATTGATGGAAAAAAGGTGAGTGGTGCATTGAGGTATATGTGGAGACAAAAAACATTATCTATGGAGGCAAAGAAGGGAATGTATGAAAGTATAGTGGTAGCAACACTCTTATATGGGTGTGAAGCTTGGGTGGTAAATGCTGCAGTGAGGAGGTGGTGGAGATGTCCTGTCTAAGGGCAATGTGTGGTGTAAATATTATGCAGAGAATTCTGATTGTGGAAATTAGGAGAAGGTATGGAGTTAATAAAAGTATTAGTCAGAGGGCTGAAGAGGGGTTGTTGAGGTGGTTTGGTCATTTAGAGAGAATGGATCACAGTAGAATGACATGGCGAACGTATAAATCTGTAGGGGAAGGAAGGTGGGGTAGGGGTCGTCCTCGAAAAGGTTGGAGGGAGGGGGTAAAGGAAGTTTTGTGGATGAGGGGCTTGGACTTCCAGAAAGCATGCGTGAGCATGTTAGTAGGAGTGAATGGAGACGAATGGTATTTGGGACCTGAGCAGGGTAATATTTAGTGAAGGGATTCAGGGAAACCAGTTATTTTTATATAGCTGGACTTGAGTCCTGGAAATGGGAAGTTCAGTGCCTGCACTTTAAAGGAGGGGTTTGGGATATTGGTAATTTGGAGGGACATGTTGTGTATCTTCATACGTATATGCCTCTAAACTGTTGTGTTCTGGGTACCTCTGCAAAAACATTGATTTTGTATGAGTGAGGTGAAAGTGTTGAATGAAAGTTTTTTTTGGGGGGGTTTTCTTTCTTTTTGGGTCACCCTGCCTCGGTGGGAGACGGCCAACTTGTTAAAAAAAAAAAAAAAAAACAATGCAAGTATGTCCAACAGATAGTAGACATTAAATTCCAAAAATTGTTTGATAATTTGGAATGGCAACTTCTTAAAGATATAAATACTGTATGAATACACCATAACATAACAGTGTATTGATGAAAAAGAAGTAGAATAAACTGAGCAGTGACACGGTGGAAGTGGACTTGGTAAATAGATATGACAGCTGTTTCATGTTAGTCAGTTGAAAGAGACAGGACCTGGAGCTAAAACTATATTCCCTCTCCCCTGCAAATGCATTTAGGCATCTACATATACATACAGTGGACCCCCGGTTAATGAACTTTTTTCATTCCAGTAGTATGTTCAGGTGCCAGTACTGACCGAATTTGTTCCCATAAGGAATATTGTGACGTAGATTAGTCCATTTCAGACCCCCAAACATACACGTACAAACGCACTTACATAAATACACTTACATAATTGGTTGCATTTGGAGGTGATCGTTAAGCGGGGGTCCACTGTACTTTATTGTGGATAACTAGAAGGATGGGTGAAGGGCTTGAACTGCAGTCCTTAAATTGACAGTTTGACACTTTACTGTCTTGGCTGCGTGGGCTTCTAGTACAGTAATTATGATGCCTTCCTATTAGAAGCTCAGACAGCTGAGACAGTCGAGCGTCGGGCTATCAATTTATGGACTGCAATTCGAGTCCCTCGTCCATCCTTCTGTTTATTGATTAACAGTTGTTTATTACAACTTAATCCAAGCTCATACTCTATTGTGTATGACCTTTGGAGGTTTAGTGCTTAGTTTTGATTATAATAATATTGAGTAGGGGAATAGAGAGCAGTGGAAGGAATTAAAATACAGTCTTCAATCATATTATTTTATTCATAGGGAAACACTAAACTAGTAGGACTCTTAGAGCTCATCGGTAATCAGTTTTAGTCCAGGGAAAGAGAGAGAGTAGCTCTAATTCCTAGAATCAAGATACCTCCCATGAAAGGTTATGCTTGGCAATGTAATTTTTAAGTGCATGTAGTATTAATATTCCTTATGAGGTTAAGCTAAATTTAGCAGACACACTAGTGAATAACCAAGTTATGCTAGGCAATGTTAACTTTTAAGTGTATGTAGTATTAATATTCCTTATGGGGTTAAGCTAAAGCAGACACACTAGTGAATAACCAAGTTACCCTGGCATTTTTGCTGACTGAAAAATCTGCCAGAAAACATTTCCATGGCTTATTTCATGTGACTGAGGTAATGTGGCTTTTTTTTTAATTTCAAATGGATATTCTTTTAGCATTCAAATAATTGAGAATCAGATGGCATATTGTTAAG